GGTGAAACTCGTCGGCTGGTTTTTGACAGAAAAATTGCGCCGGGCTGCTATTTTTCTGTTGGTAAAACTGGCCTCAGAGCAGAAAAACTACCTAGGGGGATGACACCCCCCCCCCCTCCATGTGCGGGCGAGGGTCAACGGCGGCACTATCACACTGAGTTGCCGTATCATCACTTTTAACCCGCGCCTCGTTGTGGTCTGCCGAGTGACACGCCCCGTTGGGGGGGGGGGGGGACTTTGGCACCCTAAGAGCTCGAGAACCACGCAGCATAAGGACAAGCAGCAAACGGTGTTGGATATCCCCAACGGGGAATACCTTGTTAGCCAATTTCATTGAGTTCGGTCAAACTGATGATGTCACAGTTCAGGTTAAACGTCGACTTTTCACCGTTTACAGGCATTTCAAGAAATGTGTTGTAAAATAGAGTAAAATTCATTTCGTATCAAATAGTAAGAAAATTAACCTCACTCTCATTCTATCTAAAAGTAAATTCCGGATTCGAAATAAAACAAACTTTTTGAGAAGCTTTCGGCATTGCGCCATCATCAGCTCTCGATGATGGAATTTACTTTTAGATAGAATGAGAGTGAGGTTAATTTTCTTACTATTTGTTACAATGTCTCTCAAGTTAGCGTTGAAACATATTCAAGACTGTAAAATTCATTTCATTGAAAATCATCGATGGAGACTTGTTCATTAACCCGCGCCCGGCTGGGGGTCCTGGATTTCCACGCCCTGCTGGGGGGGGGGTCTGAACAGCCCCCCTTCTAACTCGGCTCCTGGGCCACGTAGCGATACGCCGAAGGCGGCGTTCGAAAGAGCGTCAAAAATAATGACGAAATCACTTCAGTCAATTTTTTGGTCAGGTCAAAGGTCAGGTCACCAGAGGTCATTGAAGGCAAAATTTCGCCGATTTCCAGGTCGAATGTCGACAATTTCCAAGATGCCAACGCATTACTCGGGAACCAATAGAGCTACAGCGCCGCGGAAAAGCGCATTCGATAGCCCTATTAACGTTCTTACTGATTAATTCTCTCAGATTTGACCTAACGTCAACGGTTTTGCCTGCAGGGGGCAAAAACTGCAAAAATAGCCGATTTTTTCGGAAAGTTTTTCTGCAATAACTTTTGACCCAAGCCTTGCACGAGCTTACTTTTGCCGGCATCGTGTTCCTCTCGTCAAGACGCATCAAATGAACTATAACTTGACCTTGAAAGGTCAACTTGAAAATTTGACCTCAGGTCAAGGTCATGACCTGACCTGAAAGGGTCATGTTGCATATCAGTCGATCCGTATCGTCGAGCTGAACACATCTAATGCGTTTTCATCGCTCTAGCATGCCTCAATCAAAAGTTATTTGCGAAAAACTGTTAGAAACCATTCGTGACCTAAGATGACCTCAGGGCATAAACAGGGGTCACGGACACCATTTTCATGTTCAGTATGTCGAAACCACTTGTAATTCAGTGTTTGGGAGTGTTTATAATGCCTTTCGTCCAAAAGAGGCGCATTTCAATTTTCTCCCATTGACTTATAATGGGGAGGTCGCAAAATTGATCTGACCTTAGGTCATCGATATCAAAATTCTGAGATATAAATTTTGTACGTGCTATTACTCTTAGCAATCGTTGAAAGTTTCAAAGCAATCGGTCACTCGGTGTAGCTATGACAGACATTGAAACTTTTTTTTTGAGGTGAGGTCACTTCAAGTGGCCTGGTGACCTGACCTTGAATGACCTTGGTCTGAAATTTTCACAACATGTGTAGAATTGATGTATGATAAGGTGTACCAAAAACAGCGGCGATCGCGAAAAACCATAAGGGGGTGTTCAAACACCCCCTTCCCAGCAGGGCGCGGATTAAGCACATATTTTTCTATTTGAGGTCACTGATACCAGGTCAGGTCATAGTGTTCAGGTCACTGAGGGTCAAAAGAAAATATGTAATGCATATTCTATGGTCCATTTTACATGACAAATGCGATTATGTCGGTCAGGCAGCCTTTGGGACCAATTTAGGTTATGTTCTGGTGAAGGTCAGGTCAAGGTCAGGTCAAATGAGGTTAACTTTGAAACTTGATGTTTTTGGATAAAATGGGCATCGATTCGATGCAGCTCGTGACGGGGAGTCTAATGATGTTCTTTGTTTTGCTCTACGTGTTCTAGAATTGCTAAAAATGGAGTTCAAAAATTTGACGGCCTCAATTTTAAAGTTTTTTCGCTCTAACTTGGCCAAAAAGGAGGTATCGATATGAAATTAGGCATGTAGATAGACGAGCGTAGATATTATCATAAATATTGTTTTTTTTCGAAATTCGGTTATTTTATTTTTGCTATTTTATGAAAAAGATCGATTTATTCTTATTTTGGGGGATCAAAATCACGACATTTTGAAAGCCTGAGATAGCAATTTTGTAGCGCCGTCTTTTTCCCACACCACCACATAAAGAACTCTGGAATAGCTTGTTAACTCTAGCTTTTGTGAGCGTTTCAAGATTTCATGTTTTTTGCTCATTTTCGCTCGAACATGACCTCAATAACTCCTCACCTAAGGTGACCTAAGACTGGAAATTTTGTGTGTTGTCAAATTGATGCCTGGAAAGGTACTAGAAATTTGGCGGCGCTTCGCGGCGCCGTTTTCTTGCTATTCAGGAAAACCCACAGGGGGAGGGGCATATTGGCCCCCCAACGGGGCGGGGATTAATTAATGGACGGCTGCTTCACATTAACCCGCGCGGGGCTGGGGTCTCCAGCCGAACGCGCGGGGCTGCGGGTGGGTAAATTTTACCCCCCCCCCCCTGTTATCTCCCGAACTAATGGTCCGATGTGGAAAATTCAAACACCAATCGAAAGACCTCATCACGAACAACTAAAAACATGTACTTAATTTAAAGTTTGAGCCTTGATGTCAAGGTCAAGGTCAGGTCAAGGGTACAAATTGCAAGTTTCTACAGTATCGGCCTTGCACCGTAGTTGCCGAAGAATGGACTGAGACTGATTGCCCAAAACATGTTCTTAGGCTACCAAGACAATATTTGCTGCATACAATATCATTCAGAGGTCAAGGTCAAGGTCAGGTCAGGTCAAGTCAGGTCACCAAAAACAAAATATAGAAAAGGACATGTGCGACACATGTTTTATGGGTCATTTTATTCATAGAATTCAATAGGCACACTCAATAGGTGATATGGACCACATCTGGATGAATTTCAGGTCGAGGTCAGGTCCAGGTCAGGTCAAGTGAGGTCAAATTTTAAAGTTGGCTGTTAAGGCCTAAAAAGGTGTCTATCTGATGCAGTTTTTCACGGCGAATCGAATGGTGCTATTTTTGTTTCCGTACGAGGTCTAGAACTTCCAAAAAATTCACTTTTCAAAATTTTTGTGTGTCGTGACGTCATGAAATTTTTAATAACTCCCACATTTTTGAACCGATTCTTCTAAAAATTGGTATGTAGGTGCACATAGACCACATCTCTGACATATATTCCGGTTTTTTCGATACACTCAAAATTTTGGATTTTATAATTATTTTCCCAAAAAAGTCAGTTTTTTTAAATTGGCCAAAATCCAAAATTTTCAAAAAACCGAGATAGCCATTTGATAGACAAAGTAGAATTACGTATAACCTTTTTTGTTACGTCTTGATTCCTTTAAAAATGAAGATGTTAGCGGCGTTTAAAATTTTGCCGTTTTTGAGGCGAAAATGGCGAACATGACGTCACTAAAACGTCAATTTCTCAAAAATATTGCGACGGATTTCGCCCAAATTTTCAGGGAACGTGTCAAATTGATGTAAGAAAAGGTACTGAAAGTTTGGCGGTGCTGCGTGCCGCCGTTTTTGAGTTATTGCAAAAATTCGCGAGGGTGGGTAAAATTTACCCCCCCAGCCCCGCGCACTGACGGGAGGGGGCGGTTAACCGCTCCCCGCCCTGAGCTTTTCGCGAATAGCGGGAAAACCGCGGCGCGTAGCGCAGCGAAATTTGACATGACCTTTCCCTTATCAATTTTACACATGGTGTGCCAATTTGAACCTTTTACCTCTCTAGGTCAGGTCACCAGGTCACTTCGAATGACCCAACCTTAAATCACTTTTTGCACTGTCACCGTGTCAGAGCTGCAGTAGATGGCGGAGGCCTTTGAAAGTCGCAGGATGTAATGAAGTCATGGATGGCTGCAATTTGTTTATCTCGGAATTTTGATATCGATGACCTAAGGTCAGGTCAATTTCTTGACCTTCCCTTTATAAGTCAATGGGGGAAAAATCAACGCGGATCCTATAAGATTTCCCATCATATGGGGAAAAATGTTTCCCCCTAAAACGCGTCAAAATGGCCCATTATGCCATGAATGACTTCATATACGACCAACCTTGAGTACCTTGAGGCTTTTTTCTGCCCTTGGGCAGCTGTAAGGTCATGTGACGTCATCAAGGGTCACCAAAGGTTTTTTGCTAATAACTCTTTACAGGAACAAGATACAGCCGAGCGGGTGGTCTCTTTGTGTTCAGCTCGTCAAGGCGCATCGAATGGTATGCATGATAACCTTGAGGTCACGTGACCTGAGGTCAACCTTCGACCTAGACCTTTCGAGGTTAACACATATATGGTTCGATGCGGATTGATGAGGGGATCACGATGGTGTCATTAGGTTTTTCCTAGCCTGCTACTTCGAAAGTTATTCGAAAAAAAAACTTCATTTCTAGCTACCATTTTGACTTTTTTGACCCCTGTGACGTCATCTTTGACCTGACCTGAAAATGACCTTAGTACAAATTGTAGATCTTGTCCCTGCGTAGGGACATCCTACGCAGATCCCCCATGCTGTTAACCGCTTGTCGCTATCTTGCTTCGTTTTTGAGATCTCAGGGGGGGGGGGCGGTCAACTGCCTCCTCCCCCCGTTGGTTCTAAGTTGGCGTAGACCCCCGTTCTCCGTCGGCAAGTGCCGACCCAGTTAAATACGTCCTGCGGCTGTACCATTGACCAGACTGGGCCATGGTCAGGTGCGGATGCTGGTGTACCGGGAAGAGGGCGCCGCCAAAGAGGAGGACGTGTTCGAGAAGATGGACGTTCAGATGGTGAAAAGGCCTGGCAAGGGGCTGGGTCTGAGCATCGTCGGCAGAAAAAACAGTCCAGGCGTCTTCATCTCGGATGTGGTGAGTCATGGGGGGGGGGGGGTAGTTGATATTCCTACTGCCTACATCGTTACGGTACAAACTCCATACCTATAGAAGCGGACATTGGGATTCAGATTGTTATTATGAGTAACAATGTCAGCTTGTCCATAGCTGGCGGTGTCTTTGGCCAGTCGTCTTCTCCCAGTGTCAAGAACTGGGGTCCGACCAGCCACCTCTCGTCCTGGACGCGAGGTGGCTGGTCTACAACCTTTTCCTCTAGCTTCCTCTCAAGCTTCCTCTACAACCTTTTTATCTAGCATTTTTCGATGCGGAGGCCATAAGAGGTCCAAAAAGCATTAGGCGCTGCCCGAGGTACCAAAAGCCCCTCCATGAGAGCACAAGTTCCTGCGCATGCGCACATCGCCTCAACCCTGTACTGGCGTACATTAGTGATACTGCTCACGGACTCGGTCAGCCAATCAGCGTTCCCGATTACATAAATAGATGTCGCTAGCATCACGTAAATCCTGCTTGCGAACACATTTTAAGAATGAAACAGCTGCGCCATTTCCGCCTTCCAGTGATTCCTGCCATCTTAGTATCAACTATACGCTTTTCAACTAACTTTAGACTAAGTTTTAAACTATGGTCAGTATGTTATTTCTGGTACATATAATTTAAAAATAACTGCTTTATGAATTTGGCTTTACTCGTCAGAATAGAATACTCTATTTTTCCATATTCAAAAAATATATCACCTACCATGTAACTCATCCAGGTAAAATGGGCGCTTTCCGCGTCGTTGGTGTACCCGTTGTTCTATATACCCTGGCTCCGAAGGCCTTTTCAAACAAGGATGATCCCAGGCGCTGCCCTGTGGAAACATACAAGACGTTTTCCAGCCATCGTCCGGAAAACATGAAGAAAAGTGACGCTCCGTTCTATCTAGCGGTAAACCATAAAAGGAAGGATGGTGACCAAATCTGGTACCAAAATGCTGCACTGGGAAAGAACACGATCGCCCAGTTTCTCAAGAAGGCTTGTCAGAGAGCCGGAATCCTAGGCAGGAAGACCAATCATTCGGCACGAAGAACCTGCGTCAAGCGTGCCCTGGACGCTGGTTGTCCCAGGGAGTACGTAGCGCAATTGACAGATCACAAAAGCGTAACCAGCCTAGAAAACTACGCTGAGGCCGACGTGCCTGTACAAAAGGCCATGTGCACAAGTGTAATGCTTGGCGAGCCGTTTAGGATCGCATCTGGCACCTATGCCACCAGCTCCAGTTCGGCAAGCACCAGCACAGTGACGGAAACTCAGTCCGTGATGTCAGGATCGACTGTGGTGTTCAACATCAGCAACTGCGGGACATTCAACATCAACACAAAGTCGTAATGAGCACGGCACGGGGACCCCCGGAGCTGGCTGACTAAGCTGTCGACTGTTCCAAAATGACTCGCAGATGAATAAAAAAAATGTTCAATTATTTGCGTTCTTTTGCGTTTCGTTCCGATAGCTATCGCCACATGGCCCACCAAAGTAATATCATCTTCCGAGCAGAGCAAAGGGTCGATGACCCCAGAACAATCTCATGCTGGTATATGAAAAATGACCACGGTCCGAAAACGTTTCCCAGATACTTAAAAGCAGTCTGAGTCTGAGTCTGAGCGGGCCGAAAGCATATACCAGAGTTTTCCGAACGCCCGTGCCAATACTTAAGACATACTCCACCATACGGTAAATGGTCAGACCCGATAATAGAATTACAAATATCAATACGCTGAATAAGATTATAAGCGCCTGTGGTACTGACAATATGGTCAAGCCACGACTCTGTACCATGGCCATCATTTACATGAGTAACACTTTCTCGATCAAGAAGCACATCATCTGCTACCACTAAGTGGGATTCTTCACAGAAATATTTTAGCTCTCTACCAAAATTAGTATCTCGAACCAGATCAGCATTAAAATCGCCAAGGATGTAGACGAATGGAGAATCAAACTCTTCAATGATTGCTCTTATCTTCCCTAAACAGAAAACAAACTCCTCAAAATTATGGCTGGCATTATAAGGCAAGTAAATTCCAAGGAACAACACCTTAAGGTGGCCGTCCACTGGTTAGGCGTGTATTCAGCGCGCAATCGTTCAGCGCCTAGCGCGCGCTGAAAAGTTCAATTATTTCAACTCGTCAGCGCGTGATTCGGCGCCGACCAGCCGACGAATAATCAGCTGACTGCGCTTCATCGCGCGTTCGGCGCTGAACCGCAGTCGGCGCGCAGCCCATATACTCCAATGTTAAATTCATCGCGTAAAGATGCGCGCCTAACCAGTGGACGGCCACCTTTAGTGTTGTCGGAACAATATTCTAGACCAATTATTCTGTCGTCACTGAAAGTGGCTACCTTCATAAAAGGTGCATATTTTCTCTTCCACATAACAGCCACCCCTCCATAAGGCCTCCCAATTATAATGCTATCTTTAGTGTTCATTGAAGAAATGCCATAGGCCATGAAATCAGAAAGTATGCTATTTAAACTAGGAAGATCAGCTGGAAAAAGCCAGTGCTCTTGCAGAAAGATAATATCGGAATTGTCACAAAGCAATTGTATACTGCCTATGTTTCGCTTAGATGACTGACAATTGTACGTGCTAACCTTCATATAATTTGTAGATAAAAGAGACAGTAACGACAAAATCACACACAAGACCGCCCCGGAGCACCCTACACACCTCATCATGCCGCAGAAATCGCTGAACCCTCAGGGATCACGGCATTGGCTTTCTTTGTAAAGAATCGCCGAACTAAGAGCCCTTGTGCCCAAATATCAGGATCAAGAACGTTGTCAACTGACGGGTCAGTTACATCAAGCCTGTACGATTCATACGAGTCAAACTTTGTCTTCAGCTTAGACACTACAACCTCTTCTGCCCCAACCTGCTCCTTAGCGTACTCTTCCACCACTTTAGCGTCAGTGCCAGGGGGAAGACGAGATACAAAGAGCGACAGGCGTTTAACGCTCTTAACAGACTTGATCAAGGAGGACTTTTGTTGCCCAACGACGCTTTTCGGCACTGGGCTAGCCTTGGCCGACGATTTTACAGCAGGAGGCTTACCTCGTTTGGCCCTGTTAGCCACACTCCAACCGTCAGCAACAGCAGGCTCCGCAGCCACTGCCGCATATGAGGCAGCCCCGGCACCGTCATCATCACGCCGGGGCTGTTGCGGACCAGCCGCGTCGCGGCCGCTGCTACACGGCTGTCCAGCCGCGCCCCTGCACCTGCCACCCCACCTGCCACCTGGCCGTCTGCTGGTGGAGCTACAGCAGCCGGCAACGGCCGGCGCGCAGCGGCAGCCGGGTCGGCTCCCTGTCCCGCAGCAGTCGCAGCACTTGTAGAAGCAGCTGGGCTGACCGGCGCACGGGACATCACAGTTTCGACCTTCTTTGTCATTTCAACGCTTACTTGCATTAGACCATCCATCGTCGTCTTCATTTGAGACATCTCCATCTCCATTAGCTGCTGCTTTCGCAGCAGCGCACTAATGTCAATACAATCAACTGACACTGGTGGCAGCTTGTTCAGATCCAGCGCGACAAAATGTGGCAGCTCCGCTCTGTCACACTCAAGAGCCATCTTGTAGATGTCCTGGATGTTTAATTGTTTTTTGTTTTGTCCTCGTCGATTTCCAGCCTTAACAGAATCCGATACGTGCGAGTTCAACAGGCTCTTGGCAGCCTCGATAGCCTCCTCGTTGAACGTTTCAGAAATTAAACGAACCAACGCATCTTGAGGTAGGAAGTCAATCTTATTCATAACATAGCATAACAACTCATTGATTATAGGCGTCATCGCCACTCATTGACTGGAGTCAACAAGCCTGAGCAGAATCTATCTGGTTCAACTGGTAGATCTTGCAGAACAACGTCACGTTCTTGTTGTTCCAAAAAACGTGCGGAATATTTTGCAGTCGATAACAAAGACGAGGCAAGAATATATATTACTGACCGGGCCGACGAAATTATTTGGAAACGAGGTTTGCAAAATTGACGTAGGCCCGAGTGCGAAGCACGAGGGCCGGAGTCAAATTTTGCAAACCGAGTTTCCAAATAATTTCGTACGGCTGAGGTCAGTAAGATTTTTCCTACATGCCGCATACCTGATAAGTAGTTTGTCACGTACCTACTCTGTCAGGTACCACAACAGCTGCGCCGCGCTGAGTCACACGGTGGGAATGACACAGCCAGGAAGATCCTACGGCAAGCAAAAACGCTGTAGTTCCAGAGGTCTCCGCAATGGGCAGCCGTTAAAATCTCATTACGAAGCCCGCCTATGGAGACAGCTACCGCAGGATGAGCGATTCGAACCTCAGTCAAATAACGCTGGATCAGCAAGATATGTCAACAGATCATGGAGCAGTGTAAAGGATGGATGCCGGCTGGAGCACACAGCCTCCTTTGTCGGTGCACAGCAACCCAGGGTGAGTGACCCGGCAGAACGACTTGAAGGTGACCTGCACAACAGCCGCAAGCACCTGTAGTTACAGATTTCGCCACTGAATAGAAGAGGCAGCACTCTACAGCCACACCCCACAACCACAAGACGTAGCGGGCAGAGGTCAGCAGCGAAGCGGGTGTGTTAGCCAGCTGACGATGCGGACACGCCCAAGACACTACACTAGTTGCCAGAGCCACCGCTAACCGAAGGGGGAGGGGGCAGCACTATACAGACGCGAGAAAGGATGACAACAAAGGATGTATGATTCTTGGAGATAAAACCATTATGACGGAAGATCGGACGGAGGAGTAGCTTCTGAAGTAATCAGCCCATATAGTAGCCGCGGGAGAATTGACTGTCAAACCTGAGGCTTGTGGCAAATGCAGGCTCGAATTCGAAGGCGAAGATACGCAGTGTCGTCTACTAAGTACATTGTAATTGGCTGGAGCAAAGAAACGCTCTTGATGCTAACTAAAGCTGTTATGGAATTCAGCCTCAATTCAAACAAACAACGACGAGCTATATGGAGTATGATAAGACGTTTAGCTACCGAGGTATTGGGATAACCAGAGGAAAAGAAGGCTGACAGGCTGCTGCGGTCAGATACGCAGGCGATATAAGAATAAAAATGGAGGATAAAGAAAAGGCACGACAGAGTTGATTCACACTTTTATCAATGTTCTTATATCCTACACATTGATTAACCAACTGGTACAACCCCCCCCCCCCCATATGAAGATGGTGAACGGCCAAGTTCAAACGCACAGGAGTAACAAAGAAACCCTGGGTGCAATGACTCGGAGGCCGGCTCAGGGCGTGGCAGCCCCTCGAGCTATAAAAGGTGCACGATTCACCCCGGAGTCACAGTCTGCAGCCGGAGCCGGAGACGCCATCTGGAGGCCGCCGTCAGTCCGGGGTCACCCGCGAGAAGCCTCTTCAGTTCCATCGATCAGAACCGAGGACAGCAGCCGACGCCTGTAACCACACTTACCCCGTTTACATGATTCAGCGAAAATGACGATTAGAACGGATATTTCCGTTTAGCGAAAAGTGCGTATATTTCGACTCATGTAAACTGGTTAGCGCGCGTAAAAATGACGATAACGCCAACGGAAATATCCGATGAATTAATGGGAAATATCCGTTTAGGACGTCAGGCCCATTTTTGCGCATCTAGCAGACAATGACATGAATATGCATGTTTTATCGATGAAATTTTTTAGTTTACACTTCAAAATACATATTTATCTTGAATGGTAGGTGTAATGACAATGAGACCCACTTTTTGCCCCTGATTTCGCGCCATTGTGGCAGATTCATAAAGTACCTACATAAGTGTTGAGAGGAACGTCCTATGCTTCAAAAGGGAAGCATTCTAGTTTAGGGGTAATTTCCTTATTTCTTAGATTCAACAATCAGGGTTCAATTCCAGGGCAACCAACATAGCCTTCCCAGCCAGTCGCTCCCTATAGCCACTTGGAACAGCATGCTAGTGCCATTTAGTGCTTGGTACACTGGATATGGTGCTTGATTTATTTTGCTTTTACATGCTCCCCTCCCAAACAATTTTCTCTACCCAGGTGCTTCAAACTTCCTAGCGGTGATTCAGATAGCTTATGCTTCAGCGAACAGCCACCAGACGGCAGGGCACACAGGCTGGTTGGGGACAGTAACTTGGCTGCATGCCAAAATATACACAAGACACACAGTCAAATTTACTCAGTGATACTGCCATCTGCCCCCCCCCCCCCCACCAATATTTAAATGTTCACCTTATTGTTCCCAAGAAGTAGATTCTTCGGTGGTGTGAAGGTCTCTGAATGTTTGGTTCAATCTCGGATGGTGGAAGCAGGCAACTGGCAAGGTTTTGTGGAATTTGTAGAATAATACCTGACCTAACCTTACCTACCAGCCTAACTTTCAACCTACCATCCTACAAACACACCTACATGCCTACAACCTATTATACCAAACTACTTCCTACCAATCTACAAGGTCAACCAACCTACCAAACCACACACCACTCAGCCTTCAGCCTTCAGCCTTCACATCTTACCGGGTGTGATTGAGAGTGGATTATTCTATGCATTTTGAAAAATGGCACTGATAGTGTCTTAAAGTTTGGTGGTGAGTAGATGTAATTTCTGTTATGACTAAAACACATGGAAGTGATGGATACCTACTGTGTTTCACCCGACAGTCAGGCAATGCACCCACAGGTCACATCTACACAATTCACCTAGAACTGATCTGACCCCTGCCTTTGAAGAACTGAGCAGCTAAAAGCACAAATGAAAATAAAATGCTGGAATATTCAAGTGCTTCAAGTGTTTCAACCAAAGATGTATACACAATCCCGCATCACCCACTTTCATACCAATGTTTTCTGAAGTGTGGCACCATCCTGCACATCCTTCCATGCATTTTCATTTTGTCAACTTACTGGAGGTCCATCATGTGAGCTATGACTATTATGAGCTGTCTTAGCCTTTTTCTGAAACCAAAAAGACTTTCAATAGTAGATGTGCTCTTCAATGTTGTCCAAGACCTCAATTGGTTACTTGCTTTCTGACAGTTAATCACACTTCTTTTACAGCACACCAGTAAAATAATGGCTTGTGCCATGATTATTTCCAATTCTACATACAAAACTTTTAAGAATCAAGTAAATTAAGCCTAAAACAAGCACAAATAATCCTTTTTTTTTCATACATTTTATTAACACAATTCACATAAAACACAAGCAAAAATAAGCATAAAAACATTTTTGTGCTCCCATCGGCGACCCGCCTGGCCAGGCCGGGACGGTGTCAATTCGTGACATATGCCGTCCCGGCCCCGGGGAGAGCTGTGGGATACCTCCCCAGCCGGGGAGATCTGATGGCTACCTCCCCGGCGCTCCAGGCGGGCCGCCAGCCCCCGCCCGCACCGCCCGGCAAGCAGCCCCGGGCGGTGCCCCCTAACCACCGACCGGGCGAGCGAAGCGCCGACCCGTCTAGGTCGGCGCTCCGCACGCCCGGCCGGCCGACCGGCCCCTCACAGGAGGGGCCAGTCCCGGGTTGGCCCGGATGGGTCATGGGGGCGGGGGCTTGTAGCGCGCACATCGTTTTCCACTAACACTTTATATAACAAACACCATATGCATACATACATACAAAGGACAGTCATTTTAACATTGTGTATCATCGACACCTGACATTTGCCCCATCCCCCCTTCCCATCGTAGAAAAAAAACTGTACACATCATGTTGCACTACGCAAACATCGTGACACACAACAATAATTAGTCACAAAGTGCTTGTTTCATATTCTAAGGCGGTTACCTTTCTACACGCTCCGCTAAAGCGCAAAACAACGAGCCCCAGGTATCGTTGAATTTCGTTTCTCGATCATTTATTTTATAAGCATACCTTTCTACTTTAAGATAGTTGTACAGGTAAGTGACGAATATGGGCTCAGATAAGTGACTATTGCATTCCCTCTTATACCATATAAACTGTTTTCCCAATGAAAGAATAGTATTGATGCGCTTGCAGACCGCGGAATCGTTGTGCTCAAAACCGGTGACTACGACTTTGTATGTAATATTGCGCCCGTTAAATAACTCACCAATACTGCTCCAAAAAGCCCTTACTCGGTGGCAATGCCAGAATAAATGTCCAATTGTTTCCACCTGGTGACAGTACGTACATCGATCCGTATCTTTGATGTTACAAGTAAAAAGAAGTTTGTTTGTTGGTAAAATTCTTTTTATGCATCTGTAATTCAACCATTTTAGATTAACATCTTCAACAGCGTAATGCAATCGTGCGTAAATAGCAGGCCAATTCAGCCGCCTTCCACCTTCAAGCTCTGCTTCCCACTTTGTGTGCGATTTTTCACCCCGAGTAGTATCTAATAC